CATCTCCAGCCCCCCCCTGTCTTTGTCTCTGCCTCTGTCTCTGTCTCAGTCTCTCTGTCTTATATTATAAGACAGAGTCTTACTAAGTTGCTAAATTGCCCAGGCTGGGCTCAGACTTATGATCCTCCTGCCTCAGCCTTCCACAGGGCTGGGATTATAGACATGCACCACCATGCCCAATTGAATAAGGGGTTAAAGCACATTTATCTAGTACCTATGTGTTCTCACTCTCTCATCTCAATTTGGGCTTCTGCTTCACACTAAGGTTCTTCTATAAATTTTTTAGTCTGAAGATCATAGGTTTTTGCATAGAACACAACCAACAGTATTCCTTCAGCCAAAAGCAGCATCTCTCTCCCTTGTTTTCGTTTTTGCTTAAAACATGACAAATGAGCCATGTGCTTTCATGCCGCTGTGACCTCCTAGCCTCAATTCACTGGAGGCTATCATTCATATGGGCTGGCGATGCCCTTTGGATTAATCTTTAATCTCACTTCCTACCATTGTCCTCACCCACTGCTCCAGCTACCAGCACCTCCTTCTGTTCCGTAAAGGTCCTAAGATATCCCCAAATCAGAGTTTTTCTATTTGCTACAACCTTACTCAGTCTGAAGCGCTCTTTTGCCAGATATTTGCATGGCTTGGTGCTCACCTCCTTTAGGTTGATTCCCAACCATGCCTTGAGCATGGAGGCCATCTTTGGCACTGTGGCTGAAACAACATGCACGTACTGTGTTTCACCCTAAATAAGACCTAATGGGAAAATAATCCCTAGCGTGATTTTTCAGGGTGCTTATAATATAAACCCTACCCCCAAAATAAGCCCCAGTTAATATCATCAGAGAGACAGATTCATGCAATACGTCCATTGCAACATGATAGATTGAGTTATAAAATAATATTACTATATAATTAAATGTAAATAAAAAATCATTGACATTAATACTAATGTTAAATTATAATAAAAATTATAACTAATGCAAAGTTCATTACTTGGGTGAAAGATTCATGGAATAAAATCATCGACAGTTATGTTGCCAACACACTACTAACAGACTACATGGACAAGAAGTTCTTATTTAGGAGAGCTCAAAGAAGAGACAACCCACAGAGTGGGAAAAATTGTATCCAGTAGTCCCTAGGATTGAACATACAAAGAACTGAAAAAAACTCAGACACCCCAAATTTAAAGACCCAATCCAAAAATGGGCATCCGATATGAGTAGACCCTTCTCCGATGAAGAAGTACAAAGGACAAACAAATATGTGAAAAAAACATTCAGCATCACTGGTCATCCAAGAGATGTGAATTAAAACAATGCTGAGATTCCATCTCACTCCAGAAAGAATGGCTGCTATCAAGAAAACAACCAATAACAAATGCTGGAGGGGCTGTGGGAAGAAAGGAACCCTTCTCCACTGTTGGTGGGAGTGCAGACTGGTGCAAGCAATGTGGAAATCAGTGTGGAGATTCCTCAAAATACTATGATTACAGCTCCCATTTGGCCCAGCTATTCCCCTACTGGTTATCTTCCTGAAAGAGTTAAAAGCATTAAACCACAATGATATATGTGCATCCATGTTTATAGCAGCACAGTTTGTAATAGCTAAATCTTGGAAACAGCCCAAATGCCCATCAACTGATGAATGGATAAAAACGATTTTTTTAACCAATGGAGTACTACTCAGCCATAAAGAAAGATAAACTTGAGGCATTTATAGCTAAATGGATGCAACTTGAGACTATGCTCAACTGAAATAAATCAGACACGTGTAAATATCACATTGTCTCTCTGGTGTGAGAATCTGAAAGAGTAAATAAAGATGAACATGTATAATAGATAATATGAAATAGGAAGCTACTGTTCAAAAGGAAAAGGAAACTGTGAATGGCGGGAGGGAAAAGGGAAAAAAACAAGAAAAGAAGGGAAAAAATGGAAACAAAGCTTTTGAAAATAAAGGGGGATGGGAGGTTGAAAGGAGAGAAAGAGATTGGGAGAAAAAGAGAACTCAAGACACATCATGTACAGATACAAATTCCCTCTGATGAACATGATTGTTATGTATATTTAAATTGTATCAATAAAATTAATAATAAAAAATGGAGCTCTGTCACTGGACATGAGAGATTTGGGTCAGTGGTTCTACAGGAAATGGAGCTGCAAGAAATTCAGGTTGGAATTGGGGCTTTGGCAAGTTATGATGATTTTCCAGAAGATGGCATGACTGTATTTAAATAATTATAGATTTTTGTACATGAATAAAGGTAGATTTCTGTACATTGATAAGTGAATAAATGTAGATACTTGTACATGAATAAATGTAGTTTGTTGTATCAGACAAAATATGACATCCACTGAAAATAAGCCCTATAGTATCTTTTGGAGCAAAAAGCAAATATAAGACATCTTATTTTCAAAGAAGTCTGGTATACACACCTCTGCTGGTCGCTCTGTCCCTTACACCACTTTGGTTTTATTTTTTTGATTATTGCCATCTGGTGTTATTTCATTGGTTATTATTTGTCCCCTCCTACTAGAAAAGAAATTACACAGGGACAAGGATATTTCTCAGCTATTTTGTTTATCACTAAGACAGTGCTTTTCGGATGGTAGGTGAATGATAAATATGTGTTAAAAATTAGTGATGCCTGGGAACATCTCGTAGAATGTCATTCCATGAGACCTATATAGAATTTTCCACCTTTAAAGTGACTTTAAAGACCCTGACAAATAATACCATCATAAGCATACAGTGCTCATTGGAACGCAGTGGTGGAGACAGAAGGACTAGAGCCCAAAGGGGCTGCCTTATCTAAAAAGAGCATGTCTGCTAGGAGAAAAGGCAAAGCCATGCTGAACATAACACTGAAATTCACTGCAATCCTCAGGTATCAACCCAGAGAGCAGCCATCGCATTCTATTATTTTAAAAGGCAGGAAATGGAACAGGGACTATATATTTCATTTATATGCTACTGAACACACACACACACACACGACAATCTAGATGGAGGGATATATTAAAATATTAATATGGTTATCTCTGAATGATATTATTTTATTTTAGATTTTTTAAAAATTATTTTCATTTCTTAGTTGAGTTTTTTTTTTAACAATGCTGTGAATTAGCTACCACCTCGGTTGTTTTTTAAAGGGTCGACAAGGCACTAGGAGAAGTGGTTGCCTCTGGAGAGTACTCACTTTTCACTGAATTTGCTTTTCCATTGATTGGTTTTATACTGTGTGCATGTAGGTTTTTTTAATTGTTTCTTTTTTTATTTTGGGGGTACTGGTCCAGGGCCTTCTGCCTGAGCTACATCCCCAGGCCTTTTATTATTTTTATTTTTAATTTTGATGCATGATCTCACTAAGTCACTAAGTGTCCCATATGGAGCTTAAATGTGTGATCCTCCTGCCTCAGCCTTCCAGAAATCTGGAATTACAGGCAACATGCAACTACACCCAGCACATGTATTCTTTTGGAAATAATTGGAAATCTTTGAAACTGAGAGTAGGTATTATATGTGGATGCTATATAGATTACCTGACTAGAGAGTAATATTGAAGTTGTGTGGACAGTCCCCCAGACTTTGAGGAAACAACTGGAGGGACTGTGACTGTGGCCCTTATTCTGACCAATAGGGAATGGTTTGAGAAGTTGAAGTGATAAAAAGCTGAAAAGAGAAAGAGTGAGGGACCATAAGGACTTTCACCACCAGAAAGCTATAGCTAGGAAAGTCTGATGTCCAAGTTCGTTACTGGAGATTCTATAAGCGAAGGAAATTAAAGAGGGTGGGGAAGTACCCTGAAATGTCACTGTGACTGCAGCTGTAAATGATCTCATGGAAGGTCCTAAGCAAGCCAGATAATTCATCTGCAGAGGTCTCAGAAAAACATAGATTTTAACAATTTTTTTTAGTTTTTTTATGAGTCTCTCTTTGTGTTGCATAACAATTCCATTCATCTTGTAGAGCGGGTACATAGATGCATCACATCTTAATCATTTTTACTTCCCCTTCCTCTCCAAGCCCTCTGGTCTCTTCCCTTCCCTAAGTCCCCTTATCATCACCATAAAGTCTACTTCCCTGTTTCCAATCATCTATCTTTTATGTTTCTTTTAAACATGATTTTTTAATAAATGGAAAGTAGCATATTTTCCACTCGGAAGGGGTAGACCATAACCAAAGAAGTATGTCAGCTAGTAGGAGCTGATAAGAAGAAAACAAAAGCAGGGTAAGGAGGCAGGCAGCGTGTGACCCACAGGAACGAGTCTCTGTGTATGAGTGCTTTTTCCACTCTGGAGCCAAGACTGCCCTCTCTGACTGGGGAGAAACTGAGGAGACAGCTGAAGGAAGTGAGAAAGCATCTGGGCCCCAGAGCATTCCAGGAAAAGGGTTCAAAAATGCAAAGGCTCTGATGTGGGAGTTTGCTTGGCATCCTTAGGGAAGAGCAAGGAAGAGAGTGGAGGACAAGAACTCAGAATGGTGGAAGAGAGGAGGGGCATCACATAGGTCTATGAGGGCAACTTGAGAGTTTTATCCTGAGGTGTGTCCTCAGTGAGAGGTTTTTGAGCAGAGGAATGGTGTGATTTGATTAATTCAGTATCAGGATCACTCCAGCTGCTGCATGGAAGAGAACATATGACAAGGATGTGAGCTCATTTCAGTAATTACTCCAGTAATACAAGTAAGAGATGTTGCTCACTTGGAATGAAGTATGAAGTGTGATTGAAAAATATGGTGAATTTTAATTTTTAAAAATGTATTGTTGGCCTGCCGCTGACCCAGCCGAGCCGCCCTATGGGGCACGGCGCATGGAGCGCGAGCAGCGCTGGTCGCTGGGCTGAGCCGTGCAGAGCAGCCGGGAAGAGGATGAAGCAGGGATCTCCTTTCCCCTCCCCACCGAAGGCACGGCGCATGGAGCGCGAGCAGCGCTGGTCGCTGGGCTGAGCCGTGCAGAGCAGCCGGGAAGAGGATGAAGCAGGGATCTCCTTTCCCCTCCCCACCGAGCTGGAGCTGCTCCTGGACAAGATATGAGAAATGAGTGTTGGACGTAGAAGAATAAAGTTGTTGGGTATCCTGATGATGGCAAACGTCTTCATTTATTTGATTGCGGAAGTCTCCAAAAGCAGTAGCCAAGAAAAAAAAATGGAAAAGGGGAAGTAATAATACCCAAAGAAAAGTTCTGGAAGATATCTAGTCCTCCCCAGGCATACTGGAACAGAGAACAAGAAAAGCTGAACAAGCTGTACAATCCCATTTTGAACATGCTGGCCAACCAGACAGGGGATGGATATGGGTCATCAAATATAAGCCATCTGAATTACTGTGAACCTGACCTGAGGGTCACATCACTTATAACAGATTTTAACAATTTGCCAGACAGATTTAAAGACTTTCTCCTATATTTGAGATGTCGAAATTATTCACTGATTGTAGATCAACCAAATAAATGTGCAAAGAAACCCTTCTTATTGCTGGAAATTAAGTCCCTCACTCCACATTTTTCCAGAAGACAAGCCAATTCGGGAATCCTGGGGCAGAGAAACCAATGTGGGGAACCAGACAGTGGTGCGAGTCTTTTTGCTGGGCCAGACCCTCCCAGAGGACAACCATCCAGATGTTTCAGATATGCTGAAATTTGAGTGTGAGAAGCACCAACACCTTCTTATGTGGAACTACAGAGACACTTTCTTCAACTTGTCTCTGAAGGAAGTGCTGTTTCTCAGGTGGGTGAGTACTTCCTGCCCAGACACTGAGTTCGTTTTCAAGGGCGATGACGATGTTTTTGTGAACACCCATCACATCCTGAATTACTTGAATAGCTTATCCAAGAGCAAAGCTGAAGATTTGTTTATAGGTGACGTGATCCACAATGCTGGGCCCCATCGAGATAAGAAACTGAAATACTACATCCCAGAAGTTGTTTACTCTGGGGTTTACCCACCTCATGCAGGAAGAGGTGGATTCCTCTACTCCGGCCACTTGGCCCTGAGGCTATACAACATCACTGACCGGGTCCATCTCTATGCCATTGATGATGTTTATACTGGAATGTGCCTTCAGAAACTGGGCCTCGTTCCAGAGAAACACAAAGGCTTCAGGACATTTGATATCGAGGAGAAAAACAGGAATAACATTTGTTCCTATGTAGATTTGATGTTAGTACATAGTAGAAAACCTCAGGAGATGATTGATATTTGGTCGAGGTTACAAAGTGCTCATTTAAAATGCAAACTATACAAGCTAAATTTTGCATAGAAAGGTATATCTGGACTAGTTCCCATATTGTATTTTTCACATTAGATAATTTGTATGTTAAACCATCAGAATTGCTTTTATAAGTAGTATCCATTTGAGGGCCTCTAGGCCTTTCAATTTGGTACTTTTGTGACGAGGGAAAGCAGATGACAATTTTTTTATGGAGGATATGGCAAGGTGATTGGTTCTAATCCTTTCTATTGGCTAATGGTCATAGTTTTCTAATTGCCCCTCTCATCTGAATCATGTTTCTAGAGTTTGACCACTGTAAGTTATTTTTGTTTTTGTCCCTCTATGTGAGAATATTCTTACTTCCATTATAATGACTGAGTTATCTGTAATTCAGGTATTTGTGAACTCATTGGCTGCCAAAATTTTGTGGTTCATGACTCAGTGATTTTTGTGAAATGGAATTATGTTATTTTCATGAGGTGTGGGTGAAGTTTGTTTTTGTTTGTTTGTCGGTTTTGGTTTTGGTTTTGATTTTTTGAGACAGGGTCTCACTGTGTAGTCCAGGTTGCCCTTGAACTTGCTATGTAGTTGAGGATGGCCTTGAACTCATTGGCAATCCTCCTGCCTCAGCCTCCTGAATGCTGGGATCACAGGTATGTGCCATTACACCCAGCTGAGATGAGGATGAATTTTAAAAATTGTTTAGAAAATGGATTATATCAAAGTTTCCTGTCACCCTATCAGTATTTTCTTACGTGAATATAATTAGTTAATTTTATAAAATAAGTATCACTGTATGACATCCAGTTTATCTTGTGGTTTATGATCATGAAAAGTTTAATTTTTCTTATGATTATGTCACAGTAGCTGAGTAATTTTAGTATTTTGAAAATGAGAAGTGTGCTTCCACAATGGCCAGCTGACGATTGAATCTCCCCTGACAATCATTCATATGAATTTATAAATTTTTCAGTGTGGATTAGAACTTTAGAACTTGAAGTGCAAAGATGGCAGTTACAGATGTTTTAAGTGGTTTTTCAGTTAAAAACTCCAGGATTCTATTCTTGCCATATTTTCACATGTTGCTTATACAAAATTATTATTCTGAGTAGTGATCGCTTCCCTGTCGCAGTGTAGAAGTGCCTGTGTTTTTATTTATTGCTCAGATCAAAGACCAAAATATTTTCTTAAATATATTTTGTGCAATATTTTATTTGTACAGTGTTGTTGATGAAATATTTAACTAGAGCATGATATTTTAAATGTTAAGATGTAACATATTAAATAAAGCTAATGATTATTTTTGAATTTTAAAATTCATTTTTGGGAGGTATGAATTAGTTGATAAAATTCTGCCAAACTATTGCTTATATGTACTATCTTGTAATATGCTTTCTTAAAGTATTTTTTTGTTTTTAGAGATGAAGATTCCTATCAGAAACAATATTGGGGACTATAAAATGTGGAAATAAAGCAATTGTATTTAAAAAAATGTATTGTTAAATTATCCTTATTTGCAGATGACATGATACTCTATAGAGAAGACCCCAGAACTCCACCAAAATCTTCTAAATTTAATAACAAAATTCAGTAGAGTAGCTGGATACAAGGTCAACACTCAAAAAATCAATAATTTTCCTATGCACTCCCTTCACAATAACATCCCCCAAAATGAAATACCTAGAAATCAATATAACAAAGGAAGTAAAAGAACTTTACTCTGAAAACTTCAGCACTCTGAAAAAAGAAATCAAACAGGATATGAGAAAATGGAAAGACATTCCTTACTCCTGCTAGGAAGAATCAACATAATGAAAATGGCCATACTTCCAAAGCTGCTATAATAGATTCAGTGTGATCTCAATTGAAATTCCAACAGCATACTTCACATACCTTGAGCAAACAATCCAAAAATTCCTTTGGAACCAGAACAGACCTAGAATAGCAAATGCAATAGTAGGCAATAAAGACAAGGTAGGGGGTATCACAATGTCCAACCTGAAACTATACTACAAAGCCACTGTGATAAAAACAGCATGTTAACAGCAAAGAAACATATCCAAGGATTAGTGGAACAGATTCGAAGATGAAGGAACAATTCCAGACATACTTAGCTACCTCATCTATGACAAAGGAGCTACAAACACCCTCACTGGAGGAAAGATAGCCTCTTTGATAAATGGTGCTGCAAAAACTGGGTTTCAGCTTGCCAAAGATTAAAACTAGACTTATATCTCTCACCATGCACTGAACTAAATCAAAATGGATGAAAGATCTAAATATTAAAACAGAAACACTAAACTTGTTGGAAGTTAAGCTAGATAGAACTCTTGAAAACGTTGGCATAGTAAAAGACTTTATGAACAAATCCTCAGTAGCACGGAACTAGCACAAAGAATCAACAACTGAGATCTCATCTTATTAAAAAGCTTCTGCATTGCAAGAGAAACCACCAACAGAGTGAAGAGACAACCCACAATGTAAAAAAATATATATATTTACCAGCTGTTCCTCAGACAAAGGTCTACTATTTAGAATATATAAAGAACTTTTTTAAAAAAGCAGACCTCTCAAATTTAAAGACCAAATCCAAAAATGGACATTGGAAATGAACATACATTTCTCAGATGAAGAGGTAAAAAATCAAATAAACATGTGAAACAATGTTCAATATCAATTGTCATTTGAAAGATGCAAATTAAAACAATGCTTAGATTTCATCTCACCCCAGAAAGAATGGCTGCTATGAAGAAATCAACCAATGACAAATGCTGGGAGGGTTGTGGGGAAAAAGAAACTCTTCTCCAACGTTGGAGTATAGACTGGTGCAACCACTGTGGAAATCAGTATGGAGATTCCTAGAAAAACTAGAATTAGAGGCTCTATTTGACTCAGCTATTTCCCTGCTGAGTTATCTTCCCAAAATAATTAAATGCATCATACCAGAGATATGTACACCCATTTTTTAGTGGCACAATTTGTAATAGCTAAATCTTGGAAGCAGCCCAAATGCCCATCAACTGGAGATTGCATAAAGAAGATGTTTTGCTTTTTTAAATTTTTAAATAAAATGGAGTACTACTCAGCCATAAGGAATGATAAACTAGAGACACTTGTAGCTAAATGGATGCACACTGAGGCCATACTCTTAAGTGAATAGGACACACATATGTAAATACAGAATAGTTTCTCTGGTGTGAGAAACTAAAAGTGTAAATGAGAACCAAAATGCATAATAGATAATATGAAATGGGAAGAAAAAGTCCAAAGGGGAAGGGGAAGTGTGACGAGGAGGAAAGAAGGGAAAGGAAAAATAAGAGAAAAAAGAAGAAACAAAGTTTTTTGTAAATAGGGAGAGGTAGAGAAGTAGAAGAGAGGGAAGGGAAGTGGGGAAAAAATAACCAAGCTATATCACATATAGGTGCAAATTCCCAGTGATGAATAGTATGATTGTGTATACCTAAAATGTACCAATGAACTTAATGAATAAAAACGTATTGCATTCAAAGACGCATTGCTATGACCCCTCCCCCTGCCCCAATACACACTTATCCCAACACATTTTGAAGCAGTTCTGCAAGCCCTCTTTCAGGAGTGTCTTTAGCTGCACTGTCACTGGCTGCACCAATGGCCTGAATTTAAAATGTTTACTTTTCATGGTCATTTAGACTTTGGAGATGAGTCAGAAGTCCACCAATGACAGATCTGGTGAATAAAGTAGAAGAGGACACATTATAATATTTTTACTTACAAGCCTGCATTTCCATCAGATGACATGCAGCAGCAGCATTCACTACATGTTTTAATCACATCTGGTAAAGACTGTCATGGAAGAAGAATTCCAGAACTGCTCCAGAACATGGCAAGAATGATGGGATAAGTGGGTCCAGCACAAAAAGAGAGTACTGGGGGGCAGTTCATGGCAATGTGTCTTTTAGTGCAATAATTTCTAAATAAAATTTAAATTCATCATTCATGTTGATCACTTCTTGTATCAGTGGCAGAGTGGGAGGACATGGTTAATTTTGGATCTATGCTAAAGGTAGAATCAATAAGATTTCTGATGGGGTAGATGTAAGATGCTAGAAAAAAAGAAACATCAAGGAAAGCTCTAGAATGTTTTCCTTGAGGAACTTGATGAATGGTGATTTTTATTTATAGAGATGGAAAAGATCGGGGAGGTCATGGCTTAGGGGATAAGGATCTGGATAGATTTTTGGACATCTAGAGTTTGAGGGGTATAAGAGGTGAAGATGTTAATCAGAGTCCAAGTCCTGGGGCTTTGGGATTCACAGTATTTACTACCTGTTACCCCCCTCTTTGAAATGCTAATTAGTGGTTGTTCCCAGCTTGCCAAGTGCTTTCATCCTTAAACCTTTAAAGGAGTTTTACTAAATGGAGCAAGCACCATTTCCCACGGAGCTGCAAACTATTTTCTACCCTCAGGTCAAATAAGCAGTGTATTCTCTAGTTTAAGTAAAGTCCAGCCGAAGACTTTATCTGACCCCCTAACGGAACCCTAACTACTGTTAAATGCAAAGCCCCTGGAAGGGATAACACTGGCAATGTCAGGTCACAGCAGTCTGAGGATATATGATTACTCAACTTTTTCCAAGGCTGGATATGAATGGGTATGAAGTCATATTTGCACTAGGTCTGGAAAGAACCTCAAGAAGTTGTCTGGCCTCAGCCAAGAGAGCATATATACTTCTTCACCTTCGCCCCCATGAAGGGAACATTTCAGGTTTGCAACAGGCACACAGTGCTGTGTTTTATAGATTGCAGGACTGTTTGGGTGGTGATTGGCCATCAAGGAAGTTGGAGCAGGACCTGGGTCCTGATGCATAAAATAGAACTATTCATTCTAGGGTTTGTTGGATCCTAAGGGGTTTCCTTCTGCCCTTTTTAAACAGGACCAACTAATTGCATTATAGTGGAACTTGAGCTTCAGTACCATTTAGCAGCCCCAGCTCAGTGTAGCCAGGATAGTTTCACATCTTGCTGGCAGTCTTCTTTTTGCAAGTTGTTAGCATGAAGCAGTGTTATAC